GATGTTGACGTATTTATTAGCAAGGTACGTTTCGATATTTGTGATTGCGACCTTGAAATTGTAATTGCTCTCAAAATAATTACGAATTTTGTGTTTAATTTGCAATTTATTAGCGATATATCTCTCATTAAATGAATGCATTTTGTAATTTATTATAAACTGTAATAAATATAAAATATATTAATCTACTCTTGATATAACTTGTATTAATTGTACTGCTTTTAAATATTTAATATGGATATGTCAAATTATGGCATATTAATAGTATTATTAGTTAAACTTTTATAAATTTATTTCTATATGCAATATTTTGTGTAAATATTTAAATAGATCCAAATTAATATTTATATAAAATAATTTATATACATAATTATAATTAGAAATCAATTAGCTTCATAGGTATTAAGCAATAAGCAAGCATTAAGCAATAATTATTTAAACTTATATTTTTAATAATAAATCAAATATATAAATATAAATTTATATGAAGTAAGTCAAATTAATTTACATATTGCGTGTATGTTTCATTAAAAATTAAACCATATTTATAATTAATTCATAAAATATATAAATTTTTATTAAAATGTTACATCATTTTTAAAAATTATTTCTAATTATCAATTCTTTTAGGAAATATTTATTTAAGTTCAAAAATTAAATTTTGTCTATATTTGTTATAATTATACTAGCATTAATATTGTTAATATAGTCTTATATAAATAAATATCATGTTAAATTATTTAAACTATATTTATTTAAATAATTTTGTATTTACTCTTGTTGAATTTATTTCTCAATATAAATAATATTTTGTCATTTTATAACTTTAATATTTGTTTTATCTATGTCTGTTTATTGTCAAACATTGCAATGATTAATGTGAGGATAAATTTTAAAAATTATTTTTTTATATTGTAATTACTATTTTGAAATAATTAAAAATAATTTTTAAATTTAATAAATATTTTAAAATGTAACTTCCATTGATTGTTAAATTAAATTTATCTAAACTGTAATATAGAAAATTTTGTTTTAAAAATATTTTTAAAAATTGCTTATAAAATATTATATAATCATATTGCTACGATACACACTGGAGCCATTTGGGGCCACACTATAAGTGACAACACTTTAAATATTTTAACATTAATCTCTAATAGAGATTCTCTATACTGACTAACGTTATAATAGTCACTGTTTTGTCACTGTTAATGTGGCCCTGATTACAATGTGTGTGCATCGTAGATCATATTGTATAAATTATTAAAAATAATTATATTTGAATTATCATTCGCTAGTAATAAATTTAATTAATATAAACATACTAATTAAATTTTAATTTATTAATATTTCAGAAAATAATTAAAATCTATTATTAATTATTTGATCTTCGACCTAAATACCATTTTATAATAAATAATTTAAATGTCATGATTTTTGTTACAACTTTTTGGTAAATGTGAATTTTGATACATTTGTACATAATTGTTCATGTACAAATTGTATTGAAAAATTGATTAATTTCTATATTATATATAACATAACTTTAATAAATTTTAAAACTATTTCGATTTCATTTGACATAAAAAATTTTATTTAAGGTATAAAATAAAGTTAAAATTATGCATTTATATTAATATTTATAAATTTTCAAACATTATAAATAATGTCTAAATTGAGCATTGTAATTTTATTTGTGTTGATAAGCTATACATCGGCTCTAAATTTAACTGATCTGTTAACCCACGATGTCATCAGGTTTTTGAAAATGTTTTTGTGTGGTATGTAACTAATTAAAACCATGATAATCTGAGTAAAGAAATTATTGATCAAGGTGAGTGCAATAATCCTGCTGTAAAGAAAAAATTACTCGAATTCGCTGAATGCACTAAAAGCTATGATCCTGACCAGTTTGCAAAAATGTTGGCCATTCATGAAAACAAATCAATAGACCGATGTTTGCTATGATGCGATGCTGGATGAGATGATGACGTACTCATTGGCTGACCCCTCGACACCCTTTCATGTTATGTGGTGTCTATGGAAGCACTTGGAGGGCATGGATATTGATAAGTGCTATAAAGCACCATGTTAAACCTTAATTATATTTGTATCTTAATGGCTACTATTGCGGCTACAAAATAGTCTCCGATAACATTAGTCGCGGTTCGTAATCGACCCCTAAATGCATTTTTATTAAATATTGTATAGTATCACAAAAATGATTTAATATAATAACTTGAAGTACTGTCCTTCTCTAATGCATTTCACTTTGGGTCAAAACCTTTTCACTTGAGTCTCCTTTCGGTCAAAATATTTTCACTTCTCTATGGAGAGCAACACTTTGCAGGCTAAATGAAAAGTGATTTTAATTCTAACTATTATTAACTATTAGTTTTTAAGTTTATTTATTAATTATATATTGATCCGGATCAAAATGTGCGTTATATGTAGATTGATGTTTTGAGCAATAAAACAATCATTTGTGTGCTGTTGTGTTTAGTGTAAAAGTGATTTTTTATTTTAAAATTGATAGGATATCAGTGAATAATTATTAAATTAAAGCTAAATCATAATTAGAAATAACTTACATACAGTATTCAATCGTATGCACTCAAAATCTCGAAAAACAAAATCTCGAAATTTAAAAATATCGTATTAATAACACTACACTACATCATAGTATTAATATCATGATTATTACATTATTGAACCATTAGGTTGGAGGAGTACTGGTCCGGCCCGATACAGTTTCGCCTATAGCAGATATAGCTCATTATCCCGGATGCTTGCTACATCAGATATATCTGGATGTGCTAGTTACTCCGGTATAGTGCTATTAATATGATTTTTAAAATTTCGAGATTCTGTTTCGAGATTTTGTTTTTCGAGATTTTATGTCCTCCCGTATACAATATACTCAAATTGTACATTCAATATTGCATTAAATATATTAAGCATTAATATTTCTCTTCATAGAGAAGTGAAAATGTTTTGACAGTTTGTGAAAGAGTTTTGACCGAAAGGAGCCTCAAGTGAAAAGGTTTTGACCCAAAGTGAAATGCATTAGAGGACTGTATACTAGTAATTAATTTTAATTAAATTGTATTATATTTTAAAATCTAATGATTGATAGTACCGGTATTTGTCTGTACTCTTGTTCTAACTATAGTTTACAGTCTCTGTTCACAAAATCTTTTTGCACATTCTTGTGGAAATCCTTTCATATAAATTACTCAATCATAAGTAAGCTATATAATACTTTCCAGGTCTCAGTGATATCGCTTATCGTGAGCACACATGATTAAAGGAGCTATATCAAATAATGAACAAGTGGTTAACAAATTACTAAGAAATATTCATTGTTATAGAATGTTCCAAATATATTGTGCAATATGCCAGTGGGTGTGACTAAAAAACTGAAATTTAAAAAACCAACAAGTAATAAACCAACAAATTGAAAACCAACATAATTAAAAAACCTCTGATGTATGCATTTGATATTTTAGGAGAGTACACACAACACTAGTATATTAAAGTTTATAAAATACATGAAAGATTAAAGTAGCATTTAGTTAAATGCCCATGAATATTAATTAGTTTTTCATTCATAACTATTACCTTATCAACTATTTTTATTGTATGTTTAATAATCTCTTATGAGTTAGTATTTTAATCATTTAAATATTATTTTGCTGTTTAATAAATAACAATGTTTTCAATACAAATCTAAATCACATTTGAATCATAAAATACTAGTGTTTTAAATAGTTCAAAATTTTAATATTATTATAAAACACTATTTTGGGGATTTTAAAAATTTTGCTACACATTATGATCCAATAATGTTGATTTTTAAAATTTGTTGGTTTATTACTTGTTGGTTTTTAATTTGTTGGTTTTTTAGTCACACCCTATTCCAATAAGTGGCAAGATTACATTTTAATGATAAATAGTAGTGTAATGATAGATGATAACATGTGCCCCTGAGGACAAACACAATGAGCTAACATGATTACATTTGAGTATAAATATGAGCTGCGCACAAATTGTAATTATCATAATTTGACATTCAAGTAAAAATTTGTCTAAAACAAAAAACAAATTAATTTACAAGATGTGCAAATTGACAATGTTTGCTATTGTGGCGCTAGTATTTGTCGTGATTAACCAGATTTGCGCAGAAACTAGTAAGTATATAATTAGTCAAATTTTGTAATTTCTGAAATAAATTAATATCTTAACTAGGACAAGTTGAAACGGATGTCTATGGTTTACGGCGACCTTTAGTGAACCACAGTTATAATATTGGCGACTTTCTTGGAGTCTCTTGCGCAGCTAAATTGGTTAATACCGAAACGGACCCTGAGCAAAATGATGAAATGCTATCAATGACCTTATTCAAGGACGGCCAACCATACCACAAACTAATTGGACCGGGAATCTCGGGAAGGAGTAAGTTGTGATAATCATGCTAATTGTGCGTGTTGCATCCCTGCATATAGCATAGAAAGCTATGAAATTGTTTATTAATTTATTTTTTAAGTGTTATACAATTTACAAAAGTATTATTGTGATTGATGAATTTGAAATAAAATGATCTTTATTACTTTTAGTTGAAGATTATCCCACAAAAGGCATACAAGACATAAGTCCGATGGGGTGGAGTTCATTCTCGCACAATGTGGGCCTCAATGAGCACTCCGGGTACGCCAATAATGAAACAAAAGGGTCGTACACTTGTCAGGTGATCTATAAAGACTACCAAAATTATACAATAACTATAACCTCGGACCAATATGAACTGAAATTAAAGTAAGCGAATATATATGAAATTAAATTAAATTTTAGTTCGAACATAAATATTATTTTAAGTTTCATAATTGTCAATGAATATATTTGAATTTATATAAATAAATGACGTATTTTAAAAAGTCCTTCGTGTTAAAAAAAATTATCATTCAGTTTTGATCCTAATGAATCATTGTATCCCATAATCGAAATGTGCAAATGTTTAATATTTTAATTTTCAATAAGAAATACTTGGTCTAAAAATTAAAATCTTTTAATTAAAAAAGAACTAATAATTTCAAATAGGTACTAATCGTATTTAAAATAAAATTATTTAATAAATTAATTCTAAAATACAAATATAATGCTACAATAATTTCGACATAAACTTATAATTTTTATATTAAACTAAATCCACATTTTGCGGCGTATTTGCGACACAATGTTTGGCTACTATTGCGGCCACAAAGCAATCGCCGATAATATTAGTGGCGGTTCGTAATCGACCCCTATATGCGGATATAAAAGTTTCGCCAAAATGCTTTACACTCGATGTTTTAAAATATAGCCTAGTTAGAGTTGAGCTAGATGAATTAAAATTTTTTAGAAACATGGTTTTTCCCTACCAATATGTTCATATGCACCATTTTACCCTGATCAAAAGGGAATATTAATAAATAAGAATTTTGGAAATTATGGATTCTCTCAAAAACTATAAGA